TACTTTTTCTCCTCTAAACAATATATTGTTAGTACATATTCTTTGTATGAGAATAGATATACCTTAATGATCTAGAGTTAAAATATATTACTATGAATTACATGTTCATTTTCAGCACAAAACAAACAGACTTCAAAGCGCTAGAATAATAATTTTAAAAAAGGTGCTGACAACACAACATTATGTCAGCATTGAAAAAAAGCAAAAGTATTATACGTGAAACAAAGATATCTAAACATTTAAGATGAAGATTAAAGTCTAGAATCACAACGAGACACGTGTCGAACCACTTATCATTCCCATTAACGACACACGTTGCTTCTGTCATCGCCTCAGAACTATTGAAAAGTTGCTCAACAAGATAAGCATAATTTTCCATTATGGATGCTATCCTTAATAATATATTTCTCTGGCTATCATGCTCAATTATGCATCGTAAACAGTAATGTATATATGCTGTGTATTCATTTGTTTCTTTGTTCTTTCCACACAGTCTTGACTGTGCATGAATATCTCTACGTAATAAACTATGAGTATGGTTTGGGATACGCAGTTTGAGAAGAACGGGTCGTTGTCCATTTTTAAGTTCTTGTATATTGATTTGTGTGTCAGTCGACGTTATATAAGCATGCTATACATGTGCGTTTTTAGTGAAACTTAAATGAAAATTGATAATTTACGGATAATATTATTTGCCATCCCCAGAAGGAAAATGTTATAATACGGCACCAACTGGAAAGATGTTTCTCAAATAAAATAAGAAAACTATTGATTTAAATCCAGAAGTTATTTTAGGCATTAGTCTTAAATCAATCGTCAATGGCAGTGGGGGTAGGGGTCATTTCACTATGTTGAGAGTGACACTATAACTGTGATACACTGTTCGAACGTATTATTAGTTGGACTACAAAACATTTCTTATCGCGCGTCCTATAATATTATCATTATTTCTACTATAATTAATTAGCTGATCAATATGGATTTTTAACTTCCATGTCTTTCTCTCATACCAAAATACAAGTACTGAGATATATCTTTTTAGAGCTAAGTTATCTGATGTGTTATAAATATTAGCTTTGTTTTCATCAGTTTGTCTTCAAAAATATGGAGACTGAGCTCCACATGTCAGTGTATGACCCAATCACGGCGGTCATATCACAATGATATTTTAACTTTTTTTCTATTTTTCCCTTCTATTAAACAACCGTTTTGTTTTAAACGCAAACGTAACTCTATGGCTCCATCTTAAAGAGAAAATATCAATAACACTTATGTCCTACCACGTGCAGTAAGTTTACACAGCACTTTATGACTCATTTAAGAACAAAACTCTTAACAACTCTCCACGACGAAGATGCGCGTTTAATGGATGTTGTTTATGACTATGCTTAACGCGATTTTTTTTTATTAGGTGGGCGAACAATAGAACACACAGTCAGGACCGCGACTGTGGCCTATATATGACGACCGAAATGCTTTCTCTCCCAGTTAAGGTTGAAAGACTGTACCTTAAGGTTAGAATATTAATATACGTACACGAAGAACGATCTTTGACTTAGGTATAATTTCAGTCTCGCAGCGATGCGGGGTGAAATGCTATGTATTCAAACGTTTAACAAAAACATTCGCTGTGAATATAAAACTGACGAACTGTGTATAAAAGTTCTGAGATTTTAAATATTTCAGTTTTAGATTTGATAACAGAGTTGGCTCATTATCATTTCTACTAGTACATGTTTTAAATGTGTTGGTGTAAATAAAGACATTTATATATCTCTTAACTTGAATACGTTTAGAAATATTTCAGTTAACCAGCCATTTGCTTCATTTCATTACAGTTACATATTTTATATATGTGTATTTAGAATGTATCTCTATAGACCTGGTCATTATACCACAACAATTCATGCCAAAGGTATAGAAATTAAAAAAGAGAATTTTGGACAACGCTGATAAAAAGGTCTAAACCCGGCATATCAAGTTTCGTGCTCGAGGTCGTTAAAATATTGAATGTTAAAATAACTGGTGACACAGAACTATGCTGATGATGGGTGTCTGCTTTTGGACAATTTATAAATCCCGAAGGGAAATTTTTCTTATTTCAAAAATCCAACATAAAAAGTCAGGTGATCGAGCGACACGAAAATAGCTTTCATTTACGCTATTTTATGAACATTTAATTTCCCTTAAAAATTCGCCTTGGGCGTTTTATGACACATTTTCGTTCCACGGCACTATTCAAAACACTTTTTGTCCAAAATATAAAATTTTGGGTCATAAAACATTTTACTCATAACATACATACATATTTCATAGTCTAAATTCTCTACCTCCAGTTAGAGGTGACAAGAAAAGTCCATATTTACATTTAGTGAGGCGTCGAGCAGCGGATCGTGTGTACGTCGTACCTGGCACTAGGCTGATATGAGGCTCTAATGCGCTGTAGAGGGTTTTCTACGTTCGAAGGAGTCCTGTGCAAACACTTAAAACGTCTGAGCATAATGGCATTAAATGCAAATGAGAACTTGGATTGATAGTATTCGCACTTAAGTTGATCCACTCGAGAATTGATTGGAGATTGAACCGTTTACATTTAACAGCGTGTGCGCGAATGTGTGTGTATGAGAGAGAGCGCGCGCGTTTGTGTTACTGTTTATATGTAGTCGCGTACCTGTTTAAACCTAAGGCCCTCTTAACGTTTGTGAAGTAGTACTTGAGTTTTGTAAGACAGTAATATACAAACAGCCATAACGAGGCAATGTCTTGACCTATTTGTTTGTGCATCTCGTCCTGCTCAACAAAGGAGAACAATTTCGCGTGTCCTGTCATAAAAATGACAGGACGCCATTCATGTTTGTTGTGCGGTTATTTTTCTTTGTCGGGAGAGATGCTGATAATTTCATTGTTTGTGTTGGAAGAACGGTATTTCTCCAACTCCCGTGTTGTAACCCGTTTCCGTTGCTACATATTATCAGGAGACCGACATATCGTGTGCAGAGGGAGAAAAAAAGGAATAGCATCTTATAACCACCGATTTCTTATGACTAATATTCACCTCAATTCTATGCTGGCATTGTTTATTATGCAAAATTCTAATTCTAATCTAACCCACAGCCTTGTCCTAAAGCTCACCACAGCAACTAGAAACATAATTCAATCGAAATAAAAACTTGACCACGAACAAGGTGGATGACAGAACCGTCCGAGTCGGAATTGTCACAGGCACTACTTCGCCCAGTATCATGCAGGCAATTTTGCATAAACGTATTCGCCTTTCGGGTTTGGACAGTTACTACTATACATACTAAAACAGAAGGTCTTCCAATGACAATTTGGAGCTTTCTCCGAGAGTTAAACCTTTCAAATCAAAGCCAAGTTAGTTTAACAAAATAATACTACATACAATGATCCCTTGGTACGTTTTAAATTTACTTCACCGGTGAAATAAATCGTATTAATCCTTGAGAGTGAGATAAACAAAAAATGAGCAATGATATTTTGATTATATTTTGTATATGGGAGAGCGTCTGGTTTGAGCTCGGTATTAGTTTCAGTAGAAAAGAGAAAAAACCTTGCCAATATGCGGTTACTTAGCCTGAGAAGTATGCGGGCTTGGATACCGTGCGCTGTAACCGTACCTCGTCCGGAATTTCACGCTTCTGAGTGTACCCGCGTTATATTGTGTCGGATTTTATGTTGGTTTCAGGTTCACCAGACTGTTTAGAAACTTCACGGCTCACACATCCTCGCTGTCGAAACAGTAAAATTAACATGCAGAGTCTTTTTAAAATATTCCCCTTGTGACTTGGGAGAAAAATCTAAGCCAGTCCAATGCATGAGCAATGTTCACTTAATGTCACTTCTATTAACTTTCGCTTTAAAAGTAAGTGTCTTTTACTGGTCGTCCTTGACAAATAATTTAGTGCATTTTATAAGCTCATGTACTGTCTACCCTATTTAATTAGGTGACAGTTTCTTCTAAAATTAATTCCATATTATTGAATTGGATCAAGGAAAACAAAAAGGACAGTAATGAAGAACTAAGGTCACCGTAGTGTGTATTTCTCAGAGGACGCACATTTTTTTTCCTTTTTTACCAGGTTTTGGAATTCTAGTCAGTCTTATTTGTCAGTCACATCCCCAGTGTAGGAATAATAAGATTTAAATGCCTCCCTTAAAATAATTCTTCTCTACTTAAATGTTATTAAATTGGTACAAAATCAACGTGGGCTCAATATGTAGTCCATCTACCTTTTGTCTACGTGATAGAAAACAAACTGTGTTAAAAAGTAAGCCACTCCTAATTAGCAGGCTAATTTCAAAACAGAGGCAGCCTGGTGTATATGGAATGGCTGAGAAAGGACTGTGTCACGGTTTCAGCTCAAGTCAAATTAATGATTAGAGCACTCAAAAGTTGGCGGAACGGTTTTTCGTGAGTATTGATACAAAGAGGAAACTGTAGTCATACCACGGTTAACGTGTCATTCACAGAGAATATTTCACATTGCTGTTATGAGCCAAAACGGATATTATTTTAGCCTGTGTTCTGGCATATATACAATTGGCTTTTTTAATTTATAGTGCTGTGACATGACGCGTTGAAAGCGGTTTGTAGGCTCTTTTTACATGTTTTTCTTAGCAAGAATGTTATGATCATTATCACCACGGAGTACGTGCCTACACAAGTTAAAAATAAAGGATTGTTCGTACTCTTTATGATAAAAATATATTTCTTTGTATTTATTCTATATTGTTATATTCTATTTGTAAATTTATTTTTCTGTATTCTCATATCATAATAAATTACCACGAAATGCCTTCATCGTGCATTTTAATATTGTGATCATGATATTCAATATTCTCAGTCAATATTTTCAGAGAAATTTATTCAGATTATAACACGACGTTTATGACCCCGCTTTTGTCTATGTCTACAACCATTTTATTACAAAATGACCGAAAGAAACATAAAAGTCACCATAGACCCTAGTATAGTTTACCTTTATTAACATGGTTGCCGTCCTGCTCACCTGTGTTGTTTGCCGTCGAAGGTGGGGAAGTCTTGGGAGCGCTCCGCTTCACTTGCATCCATTTGTACGTCACTGGAGGGAGGGGGTCCTGAGCCTGCTGGGGGTGATGCTGAGATTCACTGGCCTGCGATACTGCGCACTGTTGTTGCTGATGAGGTGGGGGGTACCCCCCATTGCCAAGATGTCCCGGCCCGATGGCAGGAGTGGGGTGTGCTGGGTGTCCCGGGGGGTAGGGGTATTGTCCCGTATCGTATCCGTTCTCTGAGGGACTGTGGTGGTGTTGCTGTCCATTGACTATTACGGGGTTTACTGAGAGCCCAGGCGCGGCCAGTAATCTGCCAGTATAGAAATCCGCGCAACTGGCATAGTCTGTAGGGGTTTCGTGGTGGGGTTGGGTAGAATGAGAATGGGGGTGATGCCGGGAGCTTGCCTGACAATCTTGAGGGCCGTAATCGCCGGCACTTCCAAGGGTAGCGTGCGCCAGTGCCAGAGAGGAGGCGGCGGCGTGATAACCCTGGGCATGACTGAGATCTAATACCCCACCTCCCGCGGAATGGTGGTTCCCGTTCACGTACGTCCCCTGACCCGTGTCTGCTACGTGAAGTCCGCCGTTGCTGACGTGCGTGTGTTCGGGGTAGTAGGGGTAAGCCGGACGAGGGGACGCATGGTGTTGGTTCCCTCCGTTCACTATCTGAGAGGCTCCGGTCCCTGCCCCTGTTTCGCTCCCGTTTATGATATATGTGTGGCTGTCCAAGTTACAGATAGTATAGTCGCTTTCTGTGTTCATAATTCACCGCGGCTATGCTTCCCTTATCACTCGCTGATGGATCTCACAAATTAGGCTGTCGATTTGAAGATAAATCTTGAAATAAATGAAGGTAAATTACACGCTGAGGCTGACAGATGAAGTAAGGGGAAACGAAGCACGTGACCGCGACCAGCCAATCACATTTCGACCCAGGAAGTCGTCTGCAAGATGATGGATGACCTGACAAAGGTTTTTAAATTACTTTTTTCACAAATTCTGTTTAAGCACGAGGTAGATCGACGTCTACGGAACATACGGCGTGGTTTACCTTCCTACAACGTCCTCCTCTACCACGAATAACTTTGCCAAAAGGGAACGCAGGACAAGTGAGAGAGAAACACCGTTTCCATAGCAACCTCAACTCGATGTCAGGCAACAATACGACTGTGAAAATGCCCAGGTAGCGCTTGTTTTCCAGTGCTTTAACAGTAGCGAAATAACAGGTTAGAACGGTGCCATTAAAGTTTACCCCGGGCGAATTACAGCTGAGTCTCACAGTCCAAAATGGCGGCTGCTGGTGTTTACTTCGCAAAGCATGGCGAAGCGATTATAAGATTTTCTATGCATAAGGTTAAACATGGGTAAACTATTCGTATCATCAGCAAACAGTTGAGTTCCTAAATATTAGCTTACAGACTTAAACGGTGTGTGAATTGAATTACTAGATGTATTATTCGTGATGTGTAAGGCTGTAAAGACATTGCTGTAAACGTAGATGACGAGGGCGGGGTGAGCACGCGAGACTACACCGGTCCCTCTCAACTGGCAGGGAGACAATCTGATTCAAGAGGGTTTAGATTTCAAATGGTTGACCTGCTCATCAAAGAGAGTGACACGAACAATGTAACACCTGCGGGAGATGGAATAACAACTTGGACCAAGATTGGTTCAGACGGGATTGGAGCATTCAGTGGTGATAGCCCAGTTTTTATCTTTGGTAAATTCATCCCCGTAGGAAAATAAATGGGCGCGAGATTATTATTAAAAGAAAAAAAATGTAAATATTGAGAGTACTATTTAATACTCATATATTTGTACATCTTAAGGGACCACGATCCCCTTTATTATTAGCTGACTAGGCATTCAAGAAAAATGACACTTTCATACAATAGCAGATAGTATCAAGAGTGTTTGTGTACATTTAACAGAATATGTGTCAGAATACTCCTTTGCATTATTTACCATTTTCACCCTTTATTTATCAATATTGATTTACCCTCTCATGCGCTTGTGACATATTTATTGCCTGTTAAACTGGAGCAGTTATGAGCAGTTGTTTGAGTTATTTTTAACCTATAACTACGCTGTATAGGCCTCAGTAATTGTTAAGGCTGTGAAGTTGATTTATTGCATGTTGCATATACACGTACATGTATTAGGTATCCTACGAATAAACTAAAAGGAAAGAAGTGGTAAAATGACCGATGTATTATTTCGAAACGACCATTGTAACAGCTGATTACCCGTATTCCCATCACAAAAAATAATAAAAAATGAAATAACTCAACTTTTGATAATCGAATGTTATTTGTTATCTTGCTCTTCATTATTATTAATGTTATCATTATCTGTGAAGAAGCAATTTATTTATCGGGACTTTGAATCCCCCCCCCCCAATTTTATAAAATAGAAAAAAAAACACCTTTAAAGACGTATTAAGACACATCTTTTAATCATCAACATAATCTGAACACCACAACTTAGAGTTGACAAGCTCATGTAATGTACATACAACACAACATTACAGTGTGCACGACAAGTCCTTCGTCTCTTCTTTTGACACCCATATTATTATCATCTGAAATGTTACAGACTCTCCAATTTCAACTGTCACAAAGACGGGCAGTAGCTTTTAAATGGTGTGTGCTACCCTGTGTTTAAATATGTCAGGAAGGGATGTTGATGAAAACACTGGAACGTCGCTGTCAGGTCGTATGTAGCTGTTAGTAGTGGGGTCACCTGTACATACATTATGTCCACGATACGATACGGACAAATCCTTTTCCCTTATCCCCAATACAATGTCCTTAAGATGGCCTATGGTATATGTTAACTATTTCTTATATTTGCTTATTAATATAAATTAACGCATGGGTCATTTGTTCAATATCATCATTATTTTGTACGGTTTTTGATAATAAAATATTAGGCGTACAAAATATGCAGTGAACGGTAGCTGTGAAACAGCGTTTCTGCTATGCCATATGCCAGGTGACATTTAACAATTTACATTGCATACCTTTTAACACAGAATAGCAGAAATTTATTTTACTTAATTTTCTGAAGCAGAACTATGTATGCATTCCTCCCCCCCCCCTCCCCCCATAAAAAAAAGAAAAAATAGGTCAGATTAGGCCTACAGCTTCGTTTACGTGCAGTACGAGTTGATTATCATTATGGGACTGAATGAAGGGAGGTTGGCTGGTCGACCTTTGGCGTCCCCTTAGAGTCTCTTTTTGATGCCATGAGTCCGTCAGTTGTTGAATTTTTAATGTTCTGCATTTCTAGTTTCTTCTGTCTCATCAAACGACGGGCGGTCGTGCGCCTCTATATTAACTTATGACTGTAATTTTGAGCTCAAATGTCAGTAATTTACCAGCATTATTTAACAAAAGTACCATTTTAATTTTTTTTTCAATTTTAACACATTCCAGGCGTAATTAGTTTAGACAAATATTATAAATTTCCAGCAGAAAAATCCTGTCTTATATTAAAGTATTTCTTGAAAGGAATTCTAATACCAGTTCAAATGCTCAATCCATGTCAGCCATTTTGGATACATTATTTAGAGTATAATTATAAAATTATGAACTACCTTTTATATATGAAAAATAATTTTTAAAAAAAGAAAAAAACAATACCAAGCTCAAATATTTCAAAATCACAGCGCTTTGGCCTTTTCCCCTCTAATATTGACGCTAGGGAGATGTCATTATAATTCAAGCCGTCACCTGCTACTGAGACGCTCCAAGGGCAACAAAGACCCACTTAATTGTGCCAAATGAGCTTGAGCCACTCTGAAAATCAGAGTATCGAAAATCGTAGAATAATTGCGCGTTAATTTCAAAATAATAGACCCTTTGACCCCGTCGCAGCAAAATAGACTTCTGTTGTCAAAGTGATCCTTGCCGCTAAACTACAAATTATAGACTCCTTCTGTTCAAAGTCTATTGGATTAGTTTTCATGCAATAACCACGCTCAATTACATTAAGTTTGAGAGCAGCTGCTACCGGGTCAATTTTGACGCACAGAAAGGCTTGCTCTGGCACCCATATTTTGAAAATCTCAGTGCATTGGAGCATTCGAGATATGGTGAAATGCCCTTCTGCGGCAAGCGTCGCAGGTGTTAAATAAAATCAGATTCCTGTGACGTATGGTAGTGTGTGTTTATATGATATGATGTTGGTATGGTTAAGGAGCAATAACCTAGTTAGGCTACGAGATGTGTATGAAAAAGAATTGGTTGGGTTATGATTATCTATCGTCATTAATTCTTTCAGCCTCTGAAATAACTGGAAATACTCGTATCTGTCACGTGTATTAGGTTTGGTTAATGTAAACGTGCTTTCATTTTAAAAAATACAAACAAGTATTTTTTCCTTTAGATAGCTGTGATCGGCACTTAAGTTACTGCACTTAAATTATACTCACATAATATTTGAACAGAAGTATATTGAAATGGCGATAGCTGTAATTCGTTTCATCACCTTAGCAGCTGTTAGGATTTTTTTTTAATTTCATATATAGCCATGCGAATACGGTATAGCCCTGAAAAGACATATTTCTTCATTTCTCTCAGCCGTATGTCGCGATGGAAGACCAGTGGTCGTGCCGCAGGACCTAATCAGTCGGATAATTTTTACAATACATTCCAAACAATTAGTCTGGAACTGGTGACCTTATACGCCGTGTTAACGCGAATTATTTTTGGTTTTGCAAGACGTCGACCAAACGCGTCATTCATCACAGCGTGAATAGCATTTTAAGTCGTTTTATTTTAAGATATCGTCGATTTAAAATTCACTTGGCACGATTGGTATGATCATTAAACAAAGAATTAATTGTGAGTTTAATTGGACACCCGACACGTGTTTTATACAGTTTGATATTATTATGAAAACTATATATCATACAGCATAAAAAGCGTAATCAGGCTAAAGACCAATAAATTGGCTGAATGATCTGATTTTTTATTCTACACGGTCACCGATGAATTCATTCATTAATAAGAATGCCATAACCGTGCTCAGTGCATTTCAGGGTCGCGACTGCTAAAACTGAGAGTCATAAATTACCAAGGATTCTCTGGGTGTTCAGAAAGCAATAATAGTCTTAAAAGTGTGCGATTTTGATTAGAAAAATGAAACAATTACGACCATCTTCTTGTCCGTTGATACCCATATTGAACGATAAACCCGACATATATATCCGTTCCCGTCCCAAGGTCCTCAAAGATGCTCCTATTATACCTATCGTATTGAAAGAATTACATAGGAGCTGTCAACTGTGTTCATCAGGCCCATTCATTTCGTGAGGCGGCGATGTATTTAAAACGGGCTTAGAGTGCAGAAAATTGCACTTAGATCATTCACAATTCTCCGCGGGTTTGCGCTGATGCAGATAAAACAAACTAGGTCTCAAGCGGCATATGCTTCTGACAGCCGTTGAAAGCTGGCCTTTGTGCGAGACAGTTTTTTTATTGTTGGTGTTTTCACTCTCTCATGTTTTGCGGCAGGTATAATGTTACTTGAAACTCGGGTCGGCCAACTTATTGTTTCGCGACAGGCATTTTGTAGATTCTATTCTGTAGTTGTCCTTGAGCTTTGGATTTTGTCGTGTAATGCAGTCACGAATCTTTAAGAAACGAGGAGTTAAACTGTTGTCGTATGTAATAATAATAATAATCACCTTTTGTAATAAAAATAAAAAATAATGATATTGATGAAACTAACATTGATTTTGTCCACATACATAACAGGTCTTATAACGTAAAACATAAGAAGAGGATTTATCATTTTCCTTTTTTTTATTTTTATTTTTCATTACGATTTTTGTGGCAAACATAATGATTCAAGGTATTACAGCATGGGCTACGGTTTCCGTCAAAACCAACAAGCACGGGGCGGAGGCGTTGTCGCTATTTTTATTGTAATGACAGTAACTGTGTGAGAACGACAATATTGCCAATACCCTTGTCATTGATAGATGCTGTGCAAAGTTAAAAATGGTGTCACTGGCTTTAGAGGATTACAACTTTTTAAGAGACATTTCGGTCACAAATTGTGATCTTTTAAAGTAAAGAGAGAGACATCATTCAGAGCTCACATTAGTAAATCGATAGTCTGTGTGTTTTTATCCAGTATTGCAGTATGAAAAGATTAACAGATATTCTAATAAATAAACAAGAAGACGGATTGATAAAGACAATTATTTTTTGAATTGATAAATAAGATTGTATCAGCACTAGAAAGAACTAAGCTCTTCTCCCTGAAACAAACGTGGATACATCGCATATATAACAAGTGGTCATCCTGATTCCCTGTATGTGAAACAGGTCAACAGAACTGGACACACCACTTATACATAAGGGCGAGACGATTTCACAGTGACCGTTTTATTTGTCCAATTTCAGCTTGGAATTTTTAACGAATCTGAAATAAATGGAAAAGCAGGGAGGGGGACCTTATTGGTACATGGTTTCAACAACTTTGGGACAGACGAAATACTCTCCTCAACTTGAAGTTTTACACATGTATTTTACCAAGAGGGTTTGCCCCTGGGATTAGTCCGGAGCATCCTGGCAGGGGGAGATTTGGGTCGACCTTTTCTACCCTCTGTTTACAGGCGTGCGTGATAACAAACGCTGACTGCACCAAAGAAAACTAGTATATATTCCACACATCCGCACATAAGTCAAATCTTGCTCTCTCTCTCTCTCTCTATCTCTCTTCGTATAGTTCACGTTCTTAGTCTTGCCTTCAAATGTCGAGCCTTCGAGCCCGCTAACTAAAGACTCACATTACCACGGCTGTCAATTTCCATTGCAGTCTTTAACATTCACCTCCCATTGCCGATTTGACGTCTCGACCTATGCTGAAATACTAACAAGTGTTTTGCGAGGTTTTTCACTCTCCGATTTCAGCACGCGGTTTTCGACTTGAGCTGAGTGTTGCTTTCCTATGGATGTTGGCAATGCTGTAAGCACAAACAGTTAACTCTCGATTTTCTTCATTTTTTTCCGTGTGTTATTATGGGCATGGAAAGACCTTATTAAAAAAGTATGCTTGCATGTCAAAGTGCACGGACGCACAAATAACACACGCACGCAACATACATGTATAAAGGGAATGGCATTTACATTTACATATGACATAAGGTCACACGCAAAATGTATTCTACGCAGATCAACAGATATTCTGTTACTGCAACCCTTGTCTCGCCCCCCCCCCCGTCTCTCAT